CATGCATGCGCTCAACTTGATTTCTCCAATCTTATACAGCTGGGGACCTCCTGCCTGGGGAATCGGACTCCTCACATCTATCAACTTAATCAAGACAATCCCCCCAGAGACAAACTCACAGGCCAACCCAGTGTAGATAAACCCTGTCACTCATTGAGACGATCTTCCCAGGTCATTTCAGGCTATCGAGTTGACTATCAAAGTTGACTAACCTTCACAGAGATGATGAAGGACACACGGTAAGTGGGACAATGGTGAGATAAAAATGTTTGACACAGATCCTGTGGCTCATAAACACCTCCAATGGGGATAAGAATGTGAATACTGTGTGGTCAAAAGGAAAACACTGAACCACATCAAGGAGATTATGTAATTGTATCTGAATTGTGCTAGAGGATGGAAGATGGCTGAAGTAGGCATGTTTTACATATGGGAATAGCAAGCAGAGGTAATCTCAAGTGCTGGATGGCGGGTAATTGTTGACTAGAGTAGAAACTGACATGGAGATGAAGAAATGAGGACTGACGGCTAAGGAGACGTGAACGGGGTGAGCGAGGACAGAATCCACAAAATTTCTGATAGATATAGGCAGATGAATTGAATGCTTATGTTTCCAGTCACTAAGTTATATAACATTTAAACAACCTTATCAATGACTTTGACCTAAATGACATTTGAGGATTATTCTACTACTTATAAGCAGAATGCACATAGAACAGTTATCAAGATTTATCATTTTCTAGGCCACAAAACAACTCTTAACAAATTTAAAATGATCAAGATATACAAACCATATTCTCTTGTGAGATGTAATTAAATTAGAAACCAAGAACATAGGACAGGTAACTATGTTTAACCTGATTTTAACATTACGCAATCTATACATGAAACACCACATTGTTTCACTCATATGCATAAGTTTTATGTTTGTAGATATGATTGAAAAAAATGAACGTCTTTTAAGTAAAGAAATTAAGAAAAGTAATATATAGGAACTTCCCAAATATTTGGAAACTAGCATATTTCTTAAATACCCAGCAGTGGAAATGAAGGGCAATAAGAAAGCATTCTGAACTGACTGAAAGTCAGTCATAGTACACCAAAGTTTGAGGAGGCATCAAAGGTGCACTTAGAAACTTACAGTGCTATCTGCCTATGTAAGAAAAGGAAAATGCTCAAATCAATGAGCAAATATGTTATCTTAAGAAACTAAAAATGTATGTGTTAATCAAATCTAAAGTAAGGTTAAAAAAAAAAAGTAAGAACAATATCCAGAACAGAAATCAATGATGTAAGAAAAGATAGGAGCTAGAGAGATGGTTCAGTCGTCTTCTTGCAGAAGACCTGATTTCAAATCCCAGAACCCACATGGCAGCTAACAACCGTCTATAACTCCAGTTCCAGGGGTTCCAACACCCTCTTCTGTCTTTCGCAGGCATTGTTCAACATGGGTACACTTACAGACATATAGCAATACATGCATATATACAAAATAAAAGAAATATTTTTAAAAAGAAAACAGCACAGAGAAGCAAAGCACCCACAACCCATTTCTACGGCAAAAGGAAAAATGGAGTCCTTAGCTTTACCAGGAAAAAGTCCAGGAGGAAGGGAAAGAGGAGGAGAGAGGGGGAACAGAGGGCTGACACAACTACAGGCTATACAGATGTTAACACAATAATGGATGAACATGAACAACTTCAGGTCATTAAATTTGATGACTTGGATAAGATGGACAAATACCTAGAAAAATACCAACTACCATGACTCACTGAAGAAGAATCTGTTAACAGACAGCTCTTTATGTATTAACGAACTGTGATATGCAGTTTAAAGAAGTCTTCCCACTAACTTTCCTATGGTGACATCATACTAATGGGAAAGAACTTAATATTTTCCTTCCAGACCAGAAACAAGGCAATGATACACTCTCTTGGCATTTCCATTTAACATTTTACTGGTGGTCTAGCCATTGCCACAAAGCATCTCATCAGCAAAGGATGAAGTAAAGTCATGTTTATTTATTGAGAACATAGCTGTTTATATAAAATGTCTACTAGGAGAGGGAGAAGAAAAGATATAAGAATAACTGAATTCAACAGTAGTTATAGGCTGGAAAATCAGCATAAAATGCATCGATTGTAGGACCAGGGGGATGACACAGTGTGTAAGGGTGCTTGCTGCATACAAATAAAGACCTGAGTTCAAATCCCTAGAACTCATGTAAAAGGCAAGACACCTATAACTCCAGCTCTGTGGATTGCTGGGGCTGGATGGCTGCCAGCCTAGCTTCAGGTGTACTGAGAGACCCTGTCTCAAGAGAATAAAGGAGAGAATGGTAGAGCAGGACACCTGACATACTCCTCTGGCCTCTATGGTCATGCACAGATACACAGACCTGCACACACACATGCATATACCACAAGCACACCAAAAATCAACTGTAGTTTATACATAATAGTAGGAATGAACAGTAGAATTAGAAATTTAAAACTTTGTATTTACAACAGCCTAAATAATTATACATAAATATGACAAAAAAAAGAATGTGGGGGTAAAGAAGAGCTAAATAAATGGAAGGAATATTGTTTCAATGATGAGAAGACTCAGCGTTGTTAACTTTCCTATGATGACATATAGTTCCATGCATTTGTGCTCAAAATCCCAGCAGGCTTTTGTAAAACTGACAGGATGATTCTAAAATTCACATTTAATTAAAAGATCAAGAACCACCAAGAAAAGAACAAGTTTAGAAGATAAACACTATCTAATTTCAAGATTTCTTATGGGCTTCAATAAACAAGAAAATGCCACATTGGTATAGATAGAGGAAGAAACCACTGGAACAGACAGCTTAGAAACGGATCCACACATGAATGGACAATTTATTTACTACAAAATATAACATCAATGCACTGGATATACACAAGCACCTTTTCAACAAATGCCACTGTAACAGCTGGCTATTCATGTTCACCAGATGAACACTACTTATGCTCCACAGATAAATAAATCAAGAGGAATAATAAACCTAAAGCCCCAAACTAGAAAACTTCTAGAAAAAAAAAACACAGAATATCTTTGTAACTTTGTGATAAGCAAACATTTCTTTGATATAATACCTATGACATGGTTTATTAGATAACAAGGTAATGAGTTAGACTATGCCAAATTATAATCTCCTGTTCCATAAATAACATTCTGAAAATGAAAATGTAAGCTTCACCAAAACAGCAAGAGCCTGTCTCAAAAAATAAGTTGGAGAGTGATTGAGGAAGACTTTTGACACAAACCTCTGGCTTCCCCATGTACATATACATACACATGTATACACACACACACACATACACACACACACACACACACACACCACATACATCTTAGGAAAAGTCACAAAAAGAATACATACATTGTGATAAGCTACATACAATTCTAAAAAGTGCAAAACCATCAGTAGTCTAAAAGCAGAAACAAGTTCACCTTGGGGTATGAGCTAAACGGACCCCATTATCAAGGTACATCAAACCATCTGAGACTGGTGGATATGTTTATTACCTTGACTGCAGTAATGTTTTCACACATACACATTTATCAAAAATTACCAAATTTCACATTTTAAATATGTATGGATTCTCATATAACTGAAGCTGTTTTCTCTTTTTTGTAAAGTAACAGCATTACTGCAATTAAGAGTAGATTCTGCGGGGTATTACACTGAGCAGGAAAGGTGAGAAAAGACTGAGTAAAGACTCCTTTCCCAGCAAGCTGAGCTTTGAATGTGGCAGGTGAAGAGGGTGTGAGGAGATAAAGACAGAAGCATGCAAAAAGTCGAGTTAAATGTGCTTTAAGGTGTGAGGAGCCCGAGCATGTTAATGTGCTAGAGAAAAGATGCCATTAGAGACTGAAAGCTGGAACACTGGGATGAAAATTCGAGAAGAAATGAGTCTGAATAAGGGGACCTGATAGAGCCAAACACAGGTGCTTTGCGATGAGGTTGAGGGTTGTAAGAGTCAACAGAACTTAATTTGTTATCTGTTATCTCCTCTCTCTGTGAGAGGGTGAAGTCCCTTAGGTAAACATATTGAGGCTTGGAAAAGTCATTGTCTACAGCAGTTAAAAGGGTGACTGGAGAGAAAGGTGAGATCTAGGAGCGTTCTGCTATGACATGGTGACAGGGAGTGAAGCACTTCCAAACAAGTAAAACAGCTGCCAGTTAGATTTGTGCACAGTGAGCCATTTGTCCCTCAGTCCTTCTCCGCCTTCCCTCCCCTAAGCCAGAATCAAACTCAACCCACAGGCTAGTCTTCCTGTTGTTACTTACCCCGTTTCCCTCAGTCTATAGACTCTTTAACTTTGTTGGGAGATATTTCTATACACATAAGAAAACAGAGACCAATGTAATGAACTAGAAACTTCTGTTACCAGCTATATCAAAGCTTAATACAATACCATATTTATCTCAACAAAATCCTTAAAGCAGATGTAGGCTTATTAGCCAAGAGAGATTTCCTCACCAGCAAACATCAACAAAACCAATTACTTTTTACATTTCATATACTTCATGAATAATGCCCAGAGCACCTCTGTGAACTTCAGGTACTGTGGGTAGGCAAAAAAAAAAAATCAAATAGAACCAGAATGGCCACTGGCAAGCTAATTAGGTATTTTCCCTATAGTGAACCGTTAATATATTAAAGCCATGCAAGTTAGATCATACCCACAGGTACTGGGCTTGGAAAAATGTTCTGGCCAAGTATGAAATTTTAATAAAAAATGGTAATTATGACTCACAGCACTGCTATTATTTTTCTTTAGTGTTGTAACACTATGCCATTTTGGCACTAGTAAACATGGAAAAGTTCAGTATACAAAAAACACTACCACATCATGTGAGATTTCTAAAGCTGAAAGCATACAATCAGTGTTTTAAAAGACAAGAGCTTTAGTCTTTATTCCATAATCAACCATCCATTAAATTAAAAGTTATAATCTGGATATACCTGCCAAAACACACTGTGTGCATCTGCTCTCAGAAGCTCCACTGTATCCCCTGCCTGGATATGCAAGGGTGGTCCTTCGTGGAGAGTTGGAGGTGGTGTCCCAGTGTAGTTCCTAATGACTTACATCTTTGGCAAACCTGAAAACAAGCAACACAGTGTTTACAACTGGGAAAGCAATGGTGTGTGAATTCTAAATGTGCTTAATAGAAAGAAAAAAATAAAGGCCGTTATTAGCATTAAAAAGTTTAATACCGCCAATCTCAAGTAAACACATGATGTAACCCCAGTGGAATGCTTTTCAACTTTCTCATTACTTGAAATGGCAAGAAAGTAAGACACACATTTATCCCCTGATCCCTCCATACCCTTTCTCTCTCTCTCTCTTTAGTTTCTTTCTAGTTGAAAAATATTTCTCTTTCAACTGATGCCTACTTCATAAAAAACACATCACGTACTGTTTAATGGAAAAGAATCAATTTTTTCCTCAGCTCTATCCTTTTTCCTTTTTGCCTATTACTTTCCCCTTGGGCACTGGCTAGTTCCATCACCAAGGAGGTTCACCCTTTCTGGGTACGTATCACATCGCCCAGTAGACAGCTCCTATCTTAAGGTTATCTTTGTAATTCGAAAGCAGAAAGTTGATGGATGTGCCACTGCAATGCTTAAGACATTTATATGGAGAAAGTCTCTGTGCTCAAATTTAGGCTTGCAAAACAGACCCAATAAAGGGAACATGTCTAAGCCAATAGCATCAACAATATTTAAAACACAGATCCATCCCTTCACTTGGATTTCTTTGAATGTGCGATGAGGGCTTCAGTTCAATATTTCATTTCTGAGAGCCGACAACTTCAATTTTATCCAAGCTTAATTGCACCAAACACTGGTCCTAAATGAATGGCCTCACAGTCACTTTTTCATTCGCAAAGTGAAGCTGCTCCCTCTAAGAGAAGTCACTCATAAACACAGTTATCTGTTGCCCATTCAGGGACAGGAGCCATCGCTTATCACACTTTCGGAACCTTTATTCTAATAACCGTGGTGACTGGATGGAAGTTCTGCACTCAGGACATTGTAGATCAATGGCTGTCATTGGGTTCTGGATATCCCAGTAACCTAGAAAAGGCCTGTAGTGTTAAATGAATCCCCCACCGACCCCCAGCAAGGAGTTAACCATGTTCTCAAAATCCTTTCCAACCTTCATACCAAAGGAGGTACAAAGCAATACTGTGGTAAGTTAAACAGTGAAGAGTTTAGTCAGTGAAGTCTTCTTGTCAGTTTAATCGAGTCAAAGGTAGAGAGCTGAAACACACTTGCCCTCACCCCAGTTCAGCTGCTATGGCTGTGGGGACAAGAGACAAGTTGCCAGATCTCTCCCTGTGCTTCTGTTCCAGTGCTACGTAACCCCTGGAAGAACAGTGACTTTCATCTCACAGATGTTACTATAGTATATTACAGGTGGCACTGTAACACAAACAGCAGACTTTATTGTCCTTCTCCCAATCAACTGTTTATCAGACTTTTTCTCCACATGCTAAACACCTTGAGTATAGAGAAAGCTTATTTTACACATTCTACTGAATTGCTACTACTAACCTAAAATGAAATCTACACACTTCATACACATAACTGATTTTAAAAACTCAGGATGTGCAAAAGGATTCAGCATGAAGAAGAATTCTTCACGTGGAGTCCGGTTTGCATGATGACTATTCCTTGTTTGGGGGACTAAGCTGTACTTAGCTTATGTTTTAACTGAGCAGCTCTAGTGTATGGAAGGCACCTCATTTGGTAGACTACCTGGGCAATTGTGACTTTATGTGAATTTTTTAAAAAGCAGCTGAAGTCAAGAAAGCAGTTTTTAAGCCTAAAATAACTCATCTTGCCTCAAATACC